TGAGTACAGTGTGGCAGCCGATTACCTTGGAGCTGCTCGGCCTGTCGATGAGTGTCCACGTATCATTTTTTATCAGAGATTTGACCTCGTCGTATATAGCGTTGCGCCACTCTTCATTGTCTGAACCTGAAACAGCCTGAGAGATGGGAATTTCGGAAGTTAACTTTGCAAACCATGCATTGAATCATTCAGGTTCATCGGAGAGCTCCTCTGATGTAGAATCTCTCGTTGCGATCTCCGCCTGATCAAGTTTTCGTTGCTGCGAGCGTGTCGCCGCTTGATATTGTTTTATAGGACGGTTTTCCTGTGAGTATACGTCGCGGGCGCCCTCGCCCGCGTGCTTGCGTCTGATTTTGTGCAGTTGGTTGATTTACTTGAAGGTCGTCGTCATCACAGGACGATAGGTGGCCGTGAAGATAATGATTCTCCGCTGAAGTGTCAGCTGTCATATCCATCAGATTCTCTATTGGTTTGTCTTCCGTTTTATTTCCTCCGATTTCGGTTGTGTACTTTTCGGCCGACTCAGCACTGTTATAGAGAGGCAGATCTTATCCGTTCACAGCGTTATTATCCACGATGTCTTCCTTTAGGCCGCTGTCGTTGAGTTCGTCCGGAAATCTTACATCCCTCGCGATGACGATCTTGCGATCTCTCGGGACCCAGATTCGATGGCCTCGTGAAGTATTATCGTAATCAACGAAGACGCCCTCGATGGGTTCGGACTTGCTCTTATTCGGGTTTCTGTCGAGTAAAAGTATCTCGCTTCCGAACGATCGAAGATGGCTCACGTCCGGTTTTTGACTGTTCCATAATTAATAGGGCGTGCGTCCGTCTAGGCTCTTGGTGATGCACCGATTCCGTATATAATTCGCTGTATTGGTGGCTTTGGCCCAAAAAGAAGTGGGGAGACTCGACTGTGTTAGCAAACAGCGTGCAGTCTCAACCAGGGTACGGTTCTTTCGCTCGGCGATTTCGTTCTGTTCTGGAGTGCGAGGGACAGTCAATCGACGCTGAATGCCGGATTCCTTCAGAATTCGATCCATGACAGAGTTGCAGAACTCCTTTCCGTTTTCCGAATGAAAAGCCTTTATCTTGAGACCAGTCTGATTCTCAACGAATCTCTTATATTCGAGGAACTTGCTCGATGCTTCGTCCTTACTCTTCAAAAAGTAGATTTGACACCATCTAGAGTGATCGTCGATGAGCATCATGAAGTAGCGTGCACCTCCCATCGAGATGGTGCGCATTGGTCCGCAGAGATTGGAATATACAATCTCGAGAAGGCATTGTTACCTTCGAACACGAGAAGCAAACGGTGAACGACACATTTTTTGCGTTATGCATACCTTGCAATCGGAGATTCTGTGGCCATTTTCCAGCTTGAGCCTGTGCATTTGATATGCGTATTAGATCGCCCATGTTGATGTGCCCGAGCCGTTCGTGCTAGACCTCAATATCCGAGCATTTCTCCTGTGTGGTTGTTTCGTCTGTTGAATAGATCCATCCAGCATGTATAAGTCACATTAACGCCCGGCGATGAGCCTAGTGTTACCTTCACGATCTTGTATGGCTGCTTGCTTTGCACTGAATACGATGCGATAACCTTTGTCCACGATTTTGGCGACGGATAATAAGTTTGTTCTTGGATCTGAAACATGTAAGGCATTTTCCAACCTGATCGTCTTATCTCGGTTGTGGAAGCTGATCAAAAGCACAACGTCCCTTCTCGCCTTCACGACTGTTGGTCGCGTCGTTGGCTAATTTTATGTCGCTCTGCATGCGTACCGGATTCTTCATCATGTGAGAGTTATTACATAGATGAGAAGTGCATCCACTGTCTAAACACCATTTACTCGCATCCGCATAGTTGGGAGATTTGACGGACGAATATCGAGCGGCTTCCGCAAGGAAAGTCTCGCTCTGCATGTTGTTCGCCCTTTCCGCCTTCTGTTTTTTTCGTTTTCGGCAGTCCGCGTATTTATGTCCGGTGATTTTGCAAAAAGAACATTTGTATTTGAAACGTGAAGGTGCCTTTCCATCGGCTTCGTTTCGTGATGTTGACGCGTTTTTCTGAGGTTTGACGTTCCTGTTGCACTTATCGCGATGAGCGAATATCGCCTCCGATTCGTTAGTCCTCGTTTGATTACGTGCTCCTTAATGACTTTTATTTTTAAATGTTCGGCATTTGGTAGCGTGTCACGAGACTCGCATCTAAAATTCTCAAAGCTGCTCGGCAAACTGTAGAGAAGCATGATGAAAAGGAGGTCTCCGTTGATCTTGACGTCCGTGGATTTCAGTTTGTCAACGGCGTCGAAGAATTGAGCTAAATATGCCTTTGCGTCTCCGCCTTCCGACATTTTGGATTGTATGAGGCGTTTGAATAATGTTGATTTGCGTAGGTCCTTTTGAGTCGTACACAGACTTTAATTTATCCCATACGTCTTTTGAGGTTTTGCACCCACGTACCTGCTTTGGTTCCGTAGGACTGATGGCAAGGATAAGATCCGACTTCGCTTTGCGATCCTCCTTTTCCTAGGCGGTAATAGCGGCTTGAGTGCACGAATCGTCAACGGTATCGAGACTTTCCGGGTACGGTTTTTCACCGCTTATGTAGCACCATGTATCATTCTTGACGAGCAGTGCCTCTATCTGTATCACACACGTATCGTAGTTGTCTTTGGTTAAGGGGTAAGGCCACTGTAGAATTTTCAAAAAATCTTTTTTTGCTTAAATGATACTTTAAGGTCTTAGAAATAAGGTACAAAAAGTCTATAACGAAGCAAAATTCCTAAGTATCATTTTTGGAAGTTTAAAGCGTTGTACCTTTCGACTTCCATTTTGTCGGTCGATCTCTCATGATTCGCTTGACATTCGTCAGCGTGTGATGTTTCCACTCTTTGTATTTTTCAGTGTCGACTTTTTTCTCCCAAAACTCCAATTAATGTTACCAATCCGTACAGTGATGAAGAGCCACGTTTTCTCCACGATCCATCGTCTGACACTGTTAAACCATCTGTTTGACCTTTTTCTATAGACAAAGCCTTTTCTTCTTGAGCTGCCATTAGCATACTTTTTTTAGCAACTGGTTCAGTTGCGCATGAAATTGTGTGCGTGAGTCTATCGTAAAATGAATGAAAAATCGGTCGAGGAAGATCCATGAAGGCGCAAAACTTTTCTATTCCATAAAGACCAACATCCAATAATCGCATAGCAAAAATCATTCTACGATTTACTTCATATGCATTATCAATAAAAGGCCAATTCAGAATGAAAATGTCGCCGCAGTTCTCACAAGAAAGAACGATTTTGAATCCCAAGCCTCGTTTGCTGCTTTCGCTGAATGTCACTTTAGAATGGCACGTTTTACACACAACAGATTTCGAAATGGCAGTAAAAATTGCAATAAAATTTAATAAACGGTAGCCAAAAATTTCATTCACTTTGATTTCATCATATGATTCTTTAGATTTACTTAGTTTCTTAGCAGAAGTACCGACGCTCTCCGGCGCAGCCTCCATTTCAAATCGATTCAACGGTCTCCTGCCTGATATCTTCGACTTTTTCTCATATCTACTAGTACTTTTCGTACCTTTACGACTCTGCGATACTGTTCCACTCATTGTATAAGTAATCACTAATTTTTTAAAGCGTATAATCGATATACAAATTTTGTATCCATAAATATAAGACAAAAATGTCGTGTAAACTGTATCGTTTCAACGGCTATACTGACCCTATATTAACATATTTGCTCTTTTATACTACTAATGCCATCTATATGTTCATTAGTGCCATCTACACGTTCACTAGGAACCTAAGAAAACCTTACCTAAGCTTAACTGTGCGTAACTATTCCCTTTATTATTCTCAGAAGGATCCCTTCGCAAACGCTTCACATCTCGAAGATATCAGGCAGGAGACCGTTGAATCGATTTGAAATGGAGGCTGCGCCGGAGAGCGTCGGTACTTCTGCTAAGAAACTAAGTAAATCTAAAGAATGATATGATGAAATCAAAGTGAATGAAATTTTTGGCTACCGTTTATTAAATTTTATTGCGGTTTTTACTGCCATTTCGAAATCTGTTGTGTGTAAAACGTGCCATTCTAAAGTGACATTCAGCGAAAGCACCAAACGAGGCTTGGGATTCAAAATCGTTCTTTCTTGTGAGAACTGCGGCGACATTTTCATTCTGAATTGACCTTTTATTGATAATGCATATGAAGTAAATCGTAGAATGATTTTTGTTATGCGATTATTGGATGTTGGTCTTTATGGAATAGAAAAGTTTTGCGCCTTCATGGATCTTCCTCGACCGATTTTTCATTCATTTTACGATAGACTCATGCACACAATTTCATGCGCAACTGAAACAGTTGCTAAAAAAAGTATGCTAATGGCAGCTCAAGAAGAAAAGGCTTTGTCTATAGAAAAAGGTCAAACAGATGGTTTAACAGTGTCAGACGATGGATCGTGGAGAAAACGTGGCTCTTCATCACTGTACGGATTGGTAACATTAATTGGAGTTTTGAGAGAAAAAAGTCACTGAAAAATACAAAGAGTGGAAACATCACACGCTGACGAATGTCAAGCGAATCATAAGAGATCGACCGACAAAATGGAAGTCGACACAGTCATTGAAATGTTCCAACGCTCAGAACAATTGCATCAAGTGAAATACGCAAATTACATTGGAGATGGAGATTCCAAAACTTTTGGAGGATCTTTTGGAATCACAACAAGCAGAAAATTCATCAGTGAAGAAAAAGGAATGTATTGATCACGTCCAAAAATGAATGGGTACCCGCCTTCGCGTACCCATTGAAGAAAGCAACTTGAAGAAAGCCATGAAAGGACTTAGAGGAAAAGGCAAATTGACTGCTAAACTTATAGATGAATTGTCTGTTTTATTTCGAATTAGCTATCCGTCGTAATCATGATTCAATTGAAAATATGAGGCGGGAGATCTGGGCGACCCTTTATCATAAGTTATCCACAGACGAAAAGCCACAGCACGATAAATGCCCGCTCAGTAAAGATTCGTGATGCAAGTGGCAGCAGGCAAAAGCCACTAATAAATTAGCTGAATTTAAGCATAAGCCAGCTCTTCCTCAAATGATTTTTAATGCTATTAAGCCAATCTATGAATAATTAAGCAGTGACGATCTTCTTAAACGTTGTTTAGGTGGCTACACCCAAAACAGTAATGAAAGTTACAACGCTTTGATTTGGTCAATGGCTCCAAAATCAATTTCCAGCGGCAAAGTTATTATTGATACAGCAAGTAATATTGCTGTTTGCATGTACAATGAAGGATATTCAAACCTTATGAAGATTATGAAAGAATTAAGCATGACAATTGGACCGAATTGCTACAATTACTGCCTCGAGACTGATGCACGGCGCATCAAATATTCAGAACGCTCGTTGACAGATGCTGCAAAAGAGGCTCGATCATCACTAAAATCGGCTAAGAAGGATCAGGAGGAGGAGAACATCAATGAAGAAGGCCAATTGTATGGTGCAGGTATCGCAAAGCAAAGGTAAATAAAAAATTTCTATCGCTGATTGTTACATAAAACTTTAAACGTGTTTTTCTCGAAATCACTTTTTTCAAACTGGCCGGACTCATAACTCCCACAAATCTTGACCGATTTATTTAAAATTTTGCCTGCAGCTTCTAAAATACATTTGTCAACGAACTACGTGCGGATTTTACGTTTCGTTGTAAACTTTTTTTATAAACAATTTTCTGCAAAGTTTTTTGTTAAAAAATGAATTTTTTTTTAAAGGACCCCGCACAAAACCTATGGAAAATGGTTTTTGGTCAAATTGGCTGAAATTTCACTATGTTATAGTTTTCGCCATGCTGATAAAAAGTTATCATTGCACCAAGTCCCAAAAGTCAATATTTCCCAAGATATAAAGAGTCAAAGTAGTGAAATATGGTCATCCGCAGTAGTAAGACGTATAAGTGATACATTGGTATTTATTCACGAAATAAATAAAAATCGATTTTTACAAATACAGGGTGGGCCATTTTAATCTCCCCACCTGAATTTCTCGTAATCTAAGTCAGATAGAGAAAAATGGTCCAGACAAAAGTAGAAGGGGACAGAGGGGGTCACGTAATGGTACCAAGGACCTTGACCTTGAACTCGATTTTCAAGGTTATTTCAAGGTCAAAGTGATTTTTTTAAATGGGAACACCTATTTTTGACCCCGGATTTGAAAAGAGCGGGAAATTTTACGTTCAAAATGATATGTTAATCAAGGTCATGGCAAGGTCGAATGAAGGTCAGGTTTGCGAATTTTGATTTCCCAATTGAATATATCGGAACCTAAGCCAAATACGTAAAATTGGTTCAGACAAATGTTAAAGGGGGCCGAGGGGGTCACCTATCTGTACTCTGATCTTGACCTTGAACTCGATTTTCAAGGTTATTTCAAGGTCATAGTGATTTTTCAAAATGGGAATCACTATTTTCGAGGGTTTCTTTAACTGTATTAACCTTACTTTTAGCGCTACCCAGAAACAACGACGTGGACGTAGTAAGTACTGTTTCCTTTGGGGTGCTGGATTAAAGTGAGTCCCCTCGCCTCTCACTATTTTAAAAATTATTAATTTAATTTCGAAGCAAATGTTCGAAGTTGCCTCCATTTGCTTGAAGGCATAAAATCAAACGTCTTTGGAAATGGCGTACGGTGTTAAGGAGAGTTTGCCTTGGAATTGCAGCGCATGCTCGACGAATGCGATCTTCAAAGTTTGCTCTTGTTGTGGGCTGTTGTTCGAAAACAATATTTTTCAAATAGCCCCATAAAAAAAAATCTGGGGATGTGAGATCGGGTGAACAAGCAGGCCAATTAACCGGACCGCCTCGTCCAATCCATCTCCCATAGTAATTTTCATTCAAGAAAGCCTGTACGATTCGTGCAAAATGTGGTGGTGCACCATCCTGCTGGAACCACATTCTTCGTCGCGTTTCTAAATCGACATCTTCCATCAATTCAGGTAACCGATCTCTAATTAAATGTAAATAGGTATGCCTATTAACATTTTCCTCAAAAAAATAAGGACCAATGAAATATCCGTTGACGATGCCACACCATACTATAAGGCTCCAACGTCTTTGATGATTCACAGTCCTGTGCCAATGAGGATTCTCATCCGACCAATAATGGCAATTATGCCTATTGAGTTCTCCGTCACTTTGAAATTTAGCTTCATCAGAAAAAAGCACAAAGTTGAAAAAAACAGGATCATTCTCTATCATCTGCAAAGCCCATTGGCAAAACATAATTCGCTGTTGAAAATGATGAAACTGTAACTCTTGAACTAAAGTTAAATGATAAGCATGATATTTATGGACTTTAAGAATTCTCAAAAAGGTTCTTCTAGGTATGCCAATTTCTCTTTCAACTCGGCGACTGCTGATATGAGGATCAAGGTGAACGATTGCAAGAACAGTCAGAACACGAGCATCATTTTCGTCGTATTCGTGGCGCCTGCGATGGCGAACCATATGTCCACCACGAGCTCTTTCAGTTAATGTACTTATTGTCCTATGATCTGGGTGTCGTCTATCTGGAAAGCGTTCAGCGTAAAGTCTTGCTGCAGCACGATAATTATTATGACTTTCGCCTAACACCATTATCATATCAACAATGTCATCGGGCTGATAGTCAGCCATTTTTAGAGCTGTTCTTCACCTTAACAAATTGTAGATAATGCAATGTTAATCGAAATTTTACAAACTATAAAAAAAGAGAAGAATCGAAGAATTATTGAATCGTACTTTATGACTATGAAAAATCAAATTGATGTAACAACTAAACAAAGTATGTTTTTATGAGAGAGATATTCAAAATATTCATGAGACATGTACGTACTAAGGATTTTTAATATTCATTGTTTTTTTCGCAATCATTATGGAGTCGCCGTCTTTACTTGGATATGGGTTATGGGTTGGGTTATGGTTATTGGTCCGATTATCGTTATGGGCTCGTTTTGGATTATGGGTTGCGTTGGGTTATGGTTTAAGTTATTAGTTAGTACGATACTTACGCATGCGCAGTAATAATTATTTTTTTGAGGAAAATGTTAATAGGCATACCTATTTCTGGGTAGCGCTAAAAGTAAGGTTAATACAGTTAAAGAAACCCTCGAAAATAGTGATTCCCATTTTAAAAAATCACTTTGACCTTGAAATAACCTTGAAAATCGAGTTCAAGGTCAAGGTCCTTGGTACCATTACGTGACCCCCTCTGTCCCCTTCTACTTTTGTCTGGACCATTTTTCTCTATCTGACTTAGATTACGAGAAATTCAGGTGGGGAGATTAAAATGGCCCACCCTGTATTTGTAAAAATCGATTTTTATTTATTTCGTGAATAAATACCAATGTATCACTTATACGTCTTACTACTGCGGATGACCATATTTCACTACTTTGACTCTTTATATCTTGGGAAATATTGACTTTTGGGACTTGGTGCAATGATAACTTTTTATCAGCATGGCGAAAACTATAACATAGTGAAATTTCAGCCAATTTGACCAAAAACCATTTTCCATAGGTTTTGTGCGGGGTCCTTTAAAAAAAAATTCATTTTTTAACAAAAAACTTTGCAGAAAATTGTTTATAAAAAAAGTTTACAACGAAACGTAAAATCCGCACGTAGTTCGTTGACAAATGTATTTTAGAAGCTGCAGGCAAAATTTTAAATAAATCGGTCAAGATTTGTGGGAGTTATGAGTCCGGCCAGTTTGAAAAAAGTGATTTCGAGAAAAACACGTTTAAAGTTTTATGTAACAATCAGCGATAGAAATTTTTTATTTACCTTTGCTTTGCGATACCTGCACCATACAATTGGCCTTCTTCATTGATGTTCTCCTCCTCCTGATCCTTCTTAGCCGATTTTAGTGATGATCGAGCCTCTTTTGCAGCATCTGTCAACGAGCGTTCTGAATATTTGATGCGCCGTGCATCAGTCTCGAGGCAGTAATTGTAGCAATTCGGTCCAATTGTCATGCTTAATTCTTTCATAATCTTCATAAGGTTTGAATATCCTTCATTGTACATGCAAACAGCAATATTACTTGCTGTATCAATAATAACTTTGCCGCTGGAAATTGATTTTGGAGCCATTGACCAAATCAAAGCGTTGTAACTTTCATTACTGTTTTGGGTGTAGCCACCTAAACAACGTTTAAGAAGATCGTCACTGCTTAATTATTCATAGATTGGCTTAATAGCATTAAAAATCATTTGAGGAAGAGCTGGCTTATGCTTAAATTCAGCTAATTTATTAGTGGCTTTTGCCTGCTGCCACTTGCATCACGAATCTTTACTGAGCGGGCATTTATCGTGCTGTGGCTTTTCGTCTGTGGATAACTTATGATAAAGGGTCGCCCAGATCTCCCGCCTCATATTTTCAATTGAATCATGATTACGACGGATAGCTAATTCGAAATAAAACAGACAATTCATCTATAAGTTTAGCAGTCAATTTGCCTTTTCCTCTAAGTCCTTTCATGGCTTTCTTCAAGTTGCTTTCTTCAATGGGTACGCGAAGGCGGGTACCCATTCATTTTTGGACGTGATCAATACATTCCTTTTTCTTCACTGATGAATTTTCTGCTTGTTGTGATTCCAAAAGATCCTCCAAAAGTTTTGGAATCTCCATCTCCAATGTAATTTGCGTATTTCACTTGATGCAATTGTTCTGAGCGTTGGAACATTTCAATGACTGTGTCGACTTCCATTTTGTCGGTCGATCTCTTATGATTCGCTTGACATTCGTCAGCGTGTGATGTTTCCACTCTTTGTATTTTTCAGTGACTTTTTTCTCTCAAAACTCCAATTAATGTTACCAATCCGTACAGTGATGAAGAGCCACGTTTTCTCCACGATCCATCGTCTGACACTGTTAAACCATCTGTTTGACCTTTTTCTATAGACAAAGCCTTTTCTTCTTGAGCTGCCATTAGCATACTTTTTTTAGCAACTGTTTCAGTTGCGCATGAAATTGTGTGCATGAGTCTATCGTAAAATGAATGAAAAATCGGTCGAGGAAGATCCATGAAGGCGCAAAACTTTTCTATTCCATAAAGACCAACATCCAATAATCGCATAACAAAAATCATTCTACGATTTACTTCATATGCATTATCAATAAAAGGTCAATTCAGAATGAAAATGTCGCCGCAGTTCTCACAAGAAAGAACGATTTTGAATCCCAAGCCTCGTTTGGTGCTTTCGCTGAATGTCACTTTAGAATGGCACGTTTTACACACAACAGATTTCGAAATGGCAGTAAAAACCGCAATAAAATTTAATAAACGGTAGCCAAAAATTTCATTCACTTTGATTTCATCATATCATTCTTTAGATTTACTTAGTTTCTTAGCAGAAGTACCGACGCTCTCCGGCGCAGCCTCCATTTCAAATCGATTCAACGGTCTCCTGCCTGATATCTTCGACTTTTTCTCATATCTACTAGTACTTTTCGTACCTTTACGACTCTGCGATACTGTTCCACTCATTGTATAAGTAATCACTAATTTTTTAAAGCGTATAATCGATATACAAATTTTGTATCCATAAATATAAGACAAAAATGTCGTGTAAACTGTATCGTTTCAACGGCTATACTGACCCTATATTAACATATTTGCTCTTTTATACTACTAATGCCATCTATATGTTCATTAGTGCCATCTACACGTTCACTAGGAACCTAAGAAAACCTTACCTAAGCTTAACTGTGCGTAACTATTCCCTTTATTATTCTCAGAAGGATCCCTTCGCAAACGCTTCACATCTCGAAGATATCAGGCAGGAGACCGTTGAATCGATTTGAAATGGAGGCTGCGCCGGAGAGCGTCGGTACTTCTGCTAAGAAACTAAGTAAATCTAAAGAATGATATGATGAAATCAAAGTGAATGAAATTTTTGGCTACCGTTTATTAAATTTTATTGCGGTTTTTACTGCCATTTCGAAATCTGTTGTGTGTAAAACGTGCCATTCTAAAGTGACATTCAGCGAAAGCACCAAACGAGGCTTGGGATTCAAAATCGTTCTTTCTTGTGAGAACTGCGGCGACATTTTCATTCTGAATTGACCTTTTATTGATAATGCATATGAAGTAAATCGTAGAATGATTTTTGTTATGCGATTATTGGATGTTGGTCTTTATGGAATAGAAAAGTTTTGCGCCTTCATGGATCTTCCTCGACCGATTTTTCATTCATTTTACGATAGACTCATGCACACAATTTCATGCGCAACTGAAACAGTTGCTAAAAAAAGTATGCTAATGGCAGCTCAAGAAGAAAAGGCTTTGTCTATAGAAAAAGGTCAAACAGATGGTTTAACAGTGTCAGACGATGGATCGTGGAGAAAACGTGGCTCTTCATCACTGTACGGATTGGTAACATTAATTGGAGTTTTGAGAGAAAAAAGTCACTGAAAAATACAAAGAGTGGAAACATCACACGCTGACGAATGTCAAGCGAATCATAAGAGATCGACCGACAAAATGGAAGTCGACACAGTCATTGAAATGTTCCAACGCTCAGAACAATTGCATCAAGTGAAATACGCAAATTACATTGGAGATGGAGATTCCAAAACTTTTGGAGGATCTTTTGGAATCACAACAAGCAGAAAATTCATCAGTGAAGAAAAAGGAATGTATTGATCACGTCCAAAAATGAATGGGTACCCGCCTTCGCGTACCCATTGAAGAAAGCAACTTGAAGAAAGCCATGAAAGGACTTAGAGGAAAAGGCAAATTGACTGCTAAACTTATAGATGAATTGTCTGTTTTATTTCGAATTAGCTATCCGTCGTAATCATGATTCAATTGAAAATATGAGGCGGGAGATCTGGGCGACCCTTTATCATAAGTTATCCACAGACGAAAAGCCACAGCACGATAAATGCCCGCTCAGTAAAGATTCGTGATGCAAGTGGCAGCAGGCAAAAGCCACTAATAAATTAGCTGAATTTAAGCATAAGCCAGCTCTTCCTCAAATGATTTTTAATGCTATTAAGCCAATCTATGAATAATTAAGCAGTGACGATCTTCTTAAACGTTGTTTAGGTGGCTACACCCAAAACAGTAATGAAAGTTACAACGCTTTGATTTGGTCAATGGCTCCAAAATCAATTTCCAGCGGCAAAGTTATTATTGATACAGCAAGTAATATTGCTGTTTGCATGTACAATGAAGGATATTCAAACCTTATGAAGATTATGAAAGAATTAAGCATGACAATTGGACCGAATTGCTACAATTACTGCCTCGAGACTGATGCACGGCGCATCAAATATTCAGAACGCTCGTTGACAGATGCTGCAAAAGAGGCTCGATCATCACTAAAATCGGCTAAGAAGGATCAGGAGGAGGAGAACATCAATGAAGAAGGCCAATTGTATGGTGCAGGTATCGCAAAGCAAAGGTAAATAAAAAATTTCTATCGCTGATTGTTACATAAAACTTTAAACGTGTTTTTCTCGAAATCACTTTTTTCAAACTGGCCGGACTCATAACTCCCACAAATCTTGACCGATTTATTTAAAATTTTGCCTGCAGCTTCTAAAATACATTTGTCAACGAACTACGTGCGGATTTTACGTTTCGTTGTAAACTTTTTTTATAAACAATTTTCTGCAAAGTTTTTTGTTAAAAAATGAATTTTTTTTTAAAGGACCCCGCACAAAACCTATGGAAAATGGTTTTTGGTCAAATTGGCTGAAATTTCACTATGTTATAGTTTTCGCCATGCTGATAAAAAGTTATCATTGCACCAAGTCCCAAAAGTCAATATTTCCCAAGATATAAAGAGTCAAAGTAGTGAAATATGGTCATCCGCAGTAGTAAGACGTATAAGTGATACATTGGTATTTATTCACGAAATAAATAAAAATCGATTTTTACAAATACAGGGTGGGCCATTTTAATCTCCCCACCTGAATTTCTCGTAATCTAAGTCAGATAGAGAAAAATGGTCCAGACAAAAGTAGAAGGGGACAGAGGGGGTCACGTAATGGTACCAAGGACCTTGACCTTGAACTCGATTTTCAAGGTTATTTCAAGGTCATAGTGATTTTTCAAAATGGGAATCACTATTTTCGAGGGTTTCTTTAACTGTATTAACCTTACTTTTAGCGCTACCCAGAAATAGGTATGCCTATTAACATTTTCCTCAAAAAAATAATTATTACTGCGCATGCGTAAGTATCGTACTAACTAATAACTTAAACCATAACCCAACGCAACCCATAATCCAAAACGAGTCCATAACGATAATCGGACCAATAACCATAACCCAACCCATAACCCATATCCAAGTAAAGACGGCGACTCCATAATGATTGCGAAAAAAACAAT